CATTGAGGAAGCGAGGGCAGGCTAGCTGAGATCATTGAGCAAGGCAGGGCAGGCTAGCAGAGATCATTGAGGAAGCGAGGGCAGGCTAGCAGAGATCATTGAGGAAGCGAGGGCAGGCTAGCTGAGATCATTGAGCAAGGCAGGGCAGGCTAGCAGAGATCATTGAGGAAGCGAGGGTAGGCTAGCAGAGATCATTGAGGAAGCGAGGGCAGGCTAGCTGAGATCATTGAGCAAGGCATGGCAGGCTAGCAGAGATCATTGCGGAAGCGAGGGCTGGCTAGCAGAGATCATTGAGGAAGCGAGGGCAGTCTAGCAGAGATTAATGCGGAAGTCGGGGAAAATTAGCAGAGGTTGCTTAGGATTGATTATTTTACCTTTCATGATTTTTCACGTTTTTTTTTCAATTTTATGCAAATTAGGACCTTCCAGACCCATCCATCGATTTTTACGTGTTTATCTTGAGTGGGAAAGGGCAGAGAGTGAGATGAAGCCGCCCTGGAGATTCGATAAGAGAATTTGGCAGCCCGAAGAATTTCGACCAAAATGACGGGCAAAGCGCTGTTTTTTCTGGCTTTAATCGGTAGGAAAATAACTGAAAATCTTTTAAACTAATTTTTCAGGGCTTTCAAGCCAACACGAACTTCTCGATGTCGTCGGGCAGGCGGTAGGTGCTCTAGAGAATACTGAAATCGTTAAAATCTATTTATCTATTTAGTTCACCGGCTGCTCCTTTGCCAATTTCAGTCAACAATCGGTGGGCAAGGATTTCAAAAATACGGTAGGTTTAAAATGTTTGTAAATGTTAAGAATCAATTTAACGTATTTTAAGCTTTTTAAAATGCTAAAAAATAGGAACCTTGCAAATTATTTTTTGTTGCGTTTACGATGAATACACTGAAAAGCCGGCTGTAGCCATTTTTAAAGGGACCGGCAAGGCAAAGTTTGCAAAACTTGCCAATGTAAATCTGGCGTTTGGCAGTTTTAAAGGGACTGACAAGACAAAATCCATGCGGCCAAGTTAGCGTCGGCTTAAAAAAAAATGTGTTCCAGTCCCTTTAAGACAGTTTTTCAGCTTCACTCCAAACTACAAACCGCCTGCCAGCAGCTTCACGCTCAAGGTCGGCCCGAATTCTGTGGAATTGTGGGTTTAATTTAATCGAAATTTGCGAAGTCCGAAAACAATTTGAAATTTAGGTGGCCGAGAAGGCGGCTGATCGGATGACGAGGTATTTGACGACCAAGGTGGGTAAAAGTCGTTCGATCCCCCCCTCTCTCTCTCTCTCTCTCTCTTCCCAAAAAATCTCTCTTAGCTACCCCGTTTTCAGGCCTCAGAATTCGGCGACTGCTCCTCGATTTGCAGCACCCCGAGGCCGATTCCCGCTTCTGGACTTTGTACATATACTTCTGAGGTTGCCCTCGAGATGGTGGGTGTCAAAAATTATACCAAATTAGGATAATCTTAGGAAAAGCTCTACGATGACCTCCGTGAATCTTTGACTACGCTATGCTCCGGGCGACCCGACGAGAAAATGTGCGAGTCGGAGGTGCAGGCAAGGGTAAGCCGGTTCCTTATTTTTGCTATAACTTTCCTAGATTAGCATCTTACAGGCTGAAAATTTGGGCACAAATAAGGACAAATGAAAACTATCTACTTACAAAATTCCAGATCAAAATAATATCAAACCAAAAAGTTAGACCCTAAAAACCAAAAAATCAGTCTTTCGAAATTGGCATAAAATTTTTAGTAAATTATTTTCAGCTCTCCCACGGCCAACTCTTGTTCAAATCAGTCCTAAAAACGCTAGCATTCCGCGTGGATCCAAAGGACGGTTGCGGAATCATCGGCGGGGGGCCCCATATTCGAGATGGTCCATTCCCACCAGAGTGTGCTCTCTGTGGCACGGTAGGTGGTTTTCAAAAGTGCGAAAATTCTCTTTTTACAGCTTACGGAATTCCTGTGGCAGTCACTGTTTACGGAAGGGGTAAGTTGGCTAGTTTTTGGCTTGTTTATCTCTCTCTCTCTCTCTCTCTTTCTCGCTCTATCGCTACCCATATTTTTCCCAGATCTTCAACGCCTTGCTGGACGTGGTGATCAAAGTGTGTAAGCTGATCGCGCCGCTGTTGGGGCTGCCGTTAACGGTAAGTCATCAGCTAAGCTAGCTTGGGCATAGGCTGGAGCTTAGCTTGAGCGTAGCTTTCTAACCTCCTTTAGTGCGACGACAAAGATGAGATGGGCTCCCTCCTCCAGTTCGTTCTGAACAGCTTCGTGGTGCCGATGCTGTACCCGGCAAGTGACGGCATCTCCCAGCTATGTAATGTGAGTTTTTTAAGGAGGGCAGGCTGGCAAAGATACTTAGGGATCCAGATTACTATATTTTTTCCATTATAGTGCTTCCAACAGCAGACGTGCCCTTCCCAGGTCCCCGACAGCAAGTGTCCATTTTAAGAGTTGAATAAATTCGTTTGTCTTGCTGTCGTCTCTCCGTCTCTCTCACTCACTCACTCTCTCTCGCTCTCTCTCTCTTTCTCCGTCTCTCTTTCTCTCGCCAAATAGCGGAGATTTTTGAGAACTATAAAAATCGTTTATTTCGAAAACGGCCTTTATTCGTCTAGTGTACGAGGAAATTCTAGCAATTTGTGACGGCACAGCTTCCCGGAAGCCGTCCTTGGCAGCTCGTCAACAACCGCGACCCCAGCAAGGTGCTTGTAGGAAACGAAGTTTTCTGGAAGGGTTGCTTAGGCTTGGACTTAGGCTTAAGCTTGCTTTGAACTTAGGTTTAGCTTAGCTTAGCTTCAGGCTTCGGCTTAGGCTTAGGTTCGGCTCAGACTCCGACTTAAGCTTATCTGACCAACGCTCACCTTCCACAAATCTCTTCACAGCCTCCGGATCACACTCGGGTCCCACCACGAAGGCGTACGGGCGCTGGCCAATCGATTGGGGTACGGTAGCTGCGGTGGTGCATCCAGATTTTCTCAGTCCTTCTTCAACTTCTACACCTATGATCGCCACGTCTTCAACACCAAAAATATTGGTTTTTATGGCCTCCTCGAGCTCGTAGGGGGACACCTGGAAATATGGGAATTAAAACTGGAAATAAATGGAAATTTGCACCAGGAAATTGGATATTTTGTAAAGTAGCGGAGAATAGCAACTACGGTAATCCAAAAATACCGTACCTGCCAGCCACGCACTTTGATCATCTCCTTTGTTCGGCCTACAATGGAGACGAAACCATCGGCGTCGACTCGAGCAAGGTCACCGCTCGGAAACCAGCCATCCGGACTTGAAAGGGAAGATGATAGGGCGTGATTCAGGCATGCTAGCAGAGATCATTGAGGAAGAGAGGGCAGGCTAGCAGAAATCATTCAGAAATTTTCACCTCAAGAAATCCAGCTTCTCCCCATTACGGTAGCCAGCTAAAAGGCATGGCGTACGGAGGTATAACTCGCCCGGAATGTCGACATCTACCGTATTTCCGGACGGGTCGAGGATCTAAGCGTTGGATTTGAAGGAATTTACATAAATAGGTATGAAGTTGTATGCTATAAATTAAGCCCTACCTTGTACTCCACCCCTGGCAGGGGTAGCCCCACGGAATCGAGCCTATCGTTGTCGGGTGGGGTCATGAAAATTAGTAGTCCGGCCTCCGTCATGCCGTATACTGTAATGTCAGCTTTCTGGGTAAGCTTTCTTAGGCTTAGGCTTAGGCATAGGCTCAGGCTTAGGTTTAGGCTTCAGCATCGGCTTAGACTTGGGCTTGGGCTTAGGCTTGGACTCAGGTTTAGGCTTGGCGTAGGTTTAGGCTTAGGTTTAGGCTTACGTTAGGCTTTGCCAAGGCTTAGGCTTGGCCTAGGTCTAGACTTGGCGCAGGCTTAGGCTTAGGTCTAAGCCTAAGTTTGGGCTGAAGCTTCGAATTCTTAAAATTGCCCCCAAACTACCGCACACTGCACGATCTGAACGGGCTGGCTGAAGGCGTCGCGCGTTTTGCGATCAAATCGGGAGCAACTCGAGCAGCGCCTACCTAAAATCGATTATTTAAAGCTACTTAATGCATTTAATAACGATAAAAACTAAAAAATCTGGAAAAATCTACATAAATCATCCGCAGGGATTCGAGGTCGAATTCTTTGAGAAGTGGCGATGTGGCGAGGAAGGAGAGAATTGGGGGTACGACGTTGATGACCGTAACCTGAAATTAGAGAGAGAAAGTGAGAGAGAGAGAGAGAGAGAGGGAGAGAGAAAGAAAGAAAGAAGAAAACTACCTTATAAGCCTCAATTGTCGTGAGAAATTGTTGAGGATCAAAGCGGTCGTTAAGGACTACGGTAGCCCCCTGGAGGAGCATCGTATAGAGTGTCAACAGGCCACCAGCGTGGAAGAAGGGCAGAACACCGTGAACGACGTCATCTGCGCCGACTAGGGGCCAGCGGGAGGACTCGTTGGAGGTGGCCCTGAAGGTTTAGGCTTAGGTTTAGGCTTAGGATAGCCTGGAACCTAAACTCGGTTTAGGTTTTCTTACAAGGAGTCGTTTTTTAGGTGCTTTTGGAGTTTCGGGACGGGACCTAGCTAGTTCGATAGAGAAAAAAATTCTGAACAAGATACCGTTTTCAAAAAGTGCTGATCGATAAAGCTGTTTTAGAAAATTGAATTTAATTAAAAATGTCCCCGGTGTTCGGACCCTTGTGGTGATTTGAGGTGATTTACGGGGGTCGACCGCCCCCCGCCACATGAGGACTCCACGCGCCTTGGATCTCGTCCTAGGCATGGCCAAGTGGCTACTGCGTTGGCCTATGAAGTTTTTTTGACCTTTTGCCACAAGTTCGATTCTTATTTATCGTTAACTCTTTGCTTTTTTGCTAATTAAAAGTTGATGCACCGTTAACGGGTTCAAGAACCAAAAAGCAAAGGGTTAGCCAGCGCGAAGATTCGAACCCGAGGCAAAAAAATGTTAAAAGTTGGTAGGCAAGCGCGCAACCAATACGCTAATGCAACCTGCGATGGAGGCCTTGGCGGAGGGTTATGAATGGTGCCCGGCCAAGCCCCGACAACGACGTGAACCGGGGAAATGGACCCGAAAATTAGAAAAAAGCGCGAACTTTCAATTAAATTTTCTAAAACACCTTTAACGATCAGCACTTTTTGAAAACGGGATGTTGCTCAGAATTTTTTTCTCTATCGAACTAGCTAATTCCCGTTCCGAAACTCCAAAAGCACCTAAAAGCGACTCCTTGTTAGCTAGGCTTGGGTAGGCTTTGTTTGCGTAGGCTTGGATTTAGGCTTAGCTAGACCTAGGCTTATGCTTGGCTTGGGTTTCGCTTCGCTTTGGCTTTGGGCTTAGGCTCAGCCATGGCTTAGGCTTCGGCCAAGCTCAGGCTTGGCATTAGCTTATGAGTAGGCTTACCTAATCTGCTCAACCAGCCCATTCAGCGACCTGTTGCTCAGCTCCACCGCCTTTGGAGGTCCGGAAGTGCCAGACGAGAAAAATATTTGAGCCTAGGTTCAAGTGTCAAAGCTAAGGAAACAATTTACGGCTTCCCCGGCCGATCCGGGCTTCCGAGTTTCGGAATTTTCCACTTCCGCTTCACAGACGGCTTCTAGCATCAGGTCATCTAGGTTAATGATGTCCTGAAAAAAAACCTTAGAGAGCTGGAATCGGTCGGTAAAGTGCCTCTGCTAGCCTGCCCTCGTTTCCACAATGATCTCTGCTAGCCTGCCCTCGTTTCCACAATGATCTCTGCTAGCCTGCCCTCGTTTCCACAATGATCTCTGCTAGCCTGCCCTCGTTTCCACAATGATTTCTGCTAGCCTGCCCGGCTTTCCCAGCTTTTAAATCCTTCTAAAACCCACCTTCTGCTCAAACACTTCCAAAATCATGCCCATTTTTTCCTTATGCCTCTGCTCCACCACAATCCTCTGGACACCGGCCTGGTGGGCATATTTTTGGATTTCATCTGGAATTATTTGAATTACCGTCTCTCCCTCTCTCTCTCTCTCTCTCTCTCTCTTCTCTCTCTCTCTCTCGCTCAACTCACATGTCTTTAGCGCAGGATTCAACGGGCACACGGCGATACCCATCAAATTTGCAGCCAGCGTAAATACCAAATATTCCACCGAATTCCCCAGAAACGTCGCCCAGGTCTCGGCTGGAAATTATTTTCTAAAAACCGATCAGTACCTACCGTATCCAGATAATTTTTCCAGGTTTTGTCTGCATTTTAGCACCCAGGGCTCGAGGTCGGAAAATCGAAACTTGGCGCCGGATTCGGGGTCTATCTGGAAGCTTCTCTAATGATTTCTGCAAGGCTGCCCTCGATCCTCAATGATCCCTGCTCGCTTACCAGCGCCACGCGATCGCCAAATTTTCTGATATCTTCTAAGAATACGGTAGCAAATATATCCGAATCCATCGTATCGATTTTGGCCATGTTTAGCGCCAGATTTTTGGGGCCAAAAATGGGCCTTAAAATGCGCCCTGCCCCACCTCAAGGGCCCACAAATTAGCCGCCATTCAAATCGTGGTGTAGGCCTTTTGTAATTTTCGGTCTTGGGATCTCTCTCTGCCTCTCTCTTTCTCTCTCTCTTTCTCTCTCTCTCTCCCTCTCTTTCTCTTTCTCTCTCTCTTTCTCTCTCTCTCTCCCTCTCTCTCCCTCTCTCTGTCTGCCTCACTCTCTTTGTCTCTCTCTCTCTCTCTCTCTCTCTCTCTCTCTCTCTCTCTCTCTCTTTCTCTCGCATTGCAAATAACGGAATTTTAAGGCAAGTATTTTATTCTCAACTACCCGTTTTTGCAGAAAATACATCACAACTTTTCATTAGTGCGTTGATACACTGAAAACACCAATGCTTCACAAAAATCAATATTTGCCCGGCCCGCCAAGGTTTGGGTACGGTGGGGGAGGGGCGGAGGCTGAGGCTAAAAACAAGGGCCTTATGAGCAATATTGATTTACCACCAGGAGTCTGAGCCGGATACGTCGGATAGACTGGTTGGTAGGCCGGTGGGACGGTTGGTTGTCTGAATTTAGGTACGTATTCGAATATTGCTGTGGGTGAGAGCGTGAGCGAGAGAGAGTTAGAGGAGAGAGCGACAGAGAGAGAGAGAGAAAGAGATAGAGAGAGACAGCAGGAGAGAGACAGAGACAGAGAGCGAAAGCGACACCGCAATTTTGAAGGCTTACTGTTGATAGTGTACTCCCGGCTGGGCGGCGTAAACATAGCTGACCGGATAGCCGCCGGTCTGGGGTTGAACCTGAAAGAAATCGGAAAATCGGCATTATAATTCGGTGTTTTCGGCCCAGGATTACCCTAGGTATCACTATCAATATTCACTTACCACCACATTGACGTTCATTCCGGGTTGTGGAAGTGGGGCTGGGGGCGGGGCTTGACAACAGCTGGAAAGAGGGAAATTTCGCACAAGATCTCCGCTAGCCTGCCCTCGCTTCCTCACTGATCTCTGCTAACCTGCCCTCGATTCCTCAATGATGCCTGCTAGCCTGCCCTCGCTTCCTCAATGATCTCTGCTAGCCTGTCCTCGATTCCTCAATGATCTCCTCCAGCCGGCCCTCCTTTCCTTCCTATCACTTCCCAAACCCTTTAAAACTCACGGATCCGGACGTGCCATCCGCTTCATCACAATATAGTCAATATAAGTATGAACACTTCTTAATGCCGTCATCACCGCGGCCAGCCCGACCAGCGCGAAGATGATGGCCAGGATGGCGATGCGCCGGGCGTCTGAAGAAAATTAACTTGTTTGCCTCTGAAATAGAAAAATCTATAAAACCAACCTCCTTTGCACCCATTGTCATAGTACTTATCAGCGACGCAGTTATCATAAAAAACATTGTCATCCCCCCGGACAGTGATGTAGCACATCCAGCCGATGATGCCGATCAGGCCGATGAGCAGCAACGTCTGAAAGAGGCAGGCTAGCGGTGGTTTTTGGGGGAAATCGGCTGCGAGAGGCAAGAGAGACTTCCTGCCGTCAGGAAAACTCCTTGATTCCCGAGGAATCCCTGCTAGCCTCCCTCATTTCCTAAACGATCTCTGCTAGCCTGCCCTCCGCTTCCTCAATGATCTCTGCTAGCCTGCCCTCTCTTCCTCAATGATCTCTGCTAGCCTGCCCTCTCTTCCTCAATGATCTCTGCTAGCCTGCCCTCTCTTCCTCAATGATCTCTGCTAGCCTGCCCATCAATTCCTCAATGATCTCTGCTAGCCTGCCCTCGCTTCCTCAATGATCTCTGCTAGCCTACCCTCGTTTCCTAAATGATCTCTGCTAGCGTGCCTTTTCTTCCTCAATGATCTCTGCTAGCTGCCCTCTCTTCCTCAATGATCTTTGCTATCTACCGACCCCTCCAAAATACACCCCACCTACCGTATAAATCTGATAAAAACGCAGCATGCACGTATTTTGACGCATAATGCCAACAATGGCGATGATGAAGAACATGCAGCAAACCCCGATGGTACCGTAGCTCGGGTAGGACTATAAGGAGGAGCCTTACGTACAGATTGGCATTTCTTACGCCCTGTGTAATAAATAGAATCGACAGCGCGAGCTGCGTCACCCAGCAGATGAACGTTGACGCGTAGACGGACCACTGAAATGGGTGGTTTTCTAAAGTGTTTTGCTAGCCTGCCAGGTTCACTTCCTAAAAGATTTCTGCTAACCTGCCCCGTCGCTTTGATTCGGCCAAAAACTTTGCTAGCCTGCCTTCCTTTTCGAATTCCACAAAGAATCCCTACTGGCATGCGTCTCATTAATTGACTTACCGAAAGCGGCAAGCAGCAGCACCACTTTTGTCGGCTCATGTTTGTCAAGCTGAAAAATAAAAAATATTACGACTTCTTCGGCGGAATTCCACTCATGGCCGATTGGTAAAGCTCTCGCCAACCAGGCAAGCGACCCGGGTTCGATTCCCTCACCTTGCCTGGATTTTTGCTCTTTGACCAAAAGGTTGAAAAACAATAAATAACTACATGTAAAGTAGAGTATAACGGAAATCGGCCCAAAAAATGGAAAAATGACAAAAGCAATGGCCAAACTCGGGGTTATCAGAATCGAACCCGGGCTCACCCCTTTGCCATTCTCTTCCACTTTTTTTGGATTTTAGGGGCTTTTTGAGGGGTGTTGATAAGGCGGCCATTTCCACCCTCCCATCCCCATGCTGATTCATCCCCTAATCAAAAAACGGAACAGCTGAAGACGTCATGACCGCCTGGGTCTCTTGTGAAATTGACGAATCTTGCGGGTAATCAAGTTCGGTTCGTCTTTAGGAATATAATGGAGTTAATGAGCAGAAGAAGGATAGATAGAGAGAGGGAGGGAGTGAGAGAGAGTGAGAGCGTGAGCGAAAGAGAGTGAGAGAAAGGTAGATGGAGAGAGAGAGAGAGAGTGCGAGCGTTAGCGAGAGAGAGCGTGAGAGAGAGAGAGAGAGAGAGAGAGAGAGAGGGAGAGAAAGAAATCGAGCGAGCGAGAGAGAGGAAGAGAGAAAAAAGAGAGAGAGAGAGCGGGAGAGAGCGAGAGAATACCGTGAAATAGAGAAGCGAGAAACGATCTGGCATGTTTAACATTTTTATGCTTTTTACTGCCTTATTTTCTAGCTTCCAACAACGTTCATCGATTTATTTTTGCTACCCGTTTGGCTGTAATTGAATACATTAATGATAGAAACGGCAATGTCAGTCATTTCTAATTTCAACATAATAGAGATCGTTTTGGCCGCTATCGGTCTCAAATTTTGTAGTTTCGTTAGCTAGGCCGCGCCAAGGAGCCTTTGCTGGGTGTTTTGCGGATCGTTGGGCTGGGCGGGGCGGTTGAAGAGACGTAGCAGAAGCTAAAAAAATCCAAAAAAATTGGATTTACGGAATTTAGTTATATTTTAAAATCTTTTCCAAGCTCTGCGAGCCCGTCTTCCGGTTATACGGGCTAATTCGACGTTAGGTACCTCAAGGAAGAGACTACGAGGCGGAGGAGGAGCGGGTTGTTCGACAGGACGAACCGGCTGAACGATGGGAGCCCTAAAATGTGGGGATGTCAATGGTATTCCCTTGCGTTCCGGTCCGTGTAATTCCGACCTGGTCTAAAATTGGCCGAAAGCCAACTGGTTACGTTATGAAAAAACGGGCGAGGTCGTCCAGATCCTTAAAACATTGCCAGAAACTTACTGCACGTAGCCGATGCCAGGTTGCTGCGCGGTGTACATCACATTCATCGGATACGCGATTGGCTGGGGTTGAAGCTGAAGTAAAATTTGCATAAAAATGAGCCTTTTAAACCTACCATCACAACGTTCATGCCAGGTTGAGCAGGTATTAGGCCTGGAGCTGGAGGAGGGAGGGAGGAGCAGCTGAAAACAATTGAGAATGATCTTCACTAGCCTGCCCTCAATTCCTCAATGCTTTCTGCTAGGCTGCCCTCCATTCCTCAATGATCTCTGCTAGCCTGTCCTCTCTTCCTAAATGCTCTCTGCTAGTCTACCCTCGAATCCTCAATGCTCTCTGCTAGCCTGCCCTCGAATTCTTCAATGACCTCTGCCAGCCTCCCCTCTTCCACAATGCTCTCTGCTAGCCTGCCCTCGCTCCCTCAATGATCTCTGCTACCCACGTTTCTTGTCGTATCTTCTTCGGCTTCTTCTCAACATGGGCAATGTAAGCATGCACACATTTCAGAGCATAGCCACCGGAAGCCAGGCACACGACTGCCATTCCCAGCGCCAGGCCCCCAATTTTCCGAGCTGCTAAAAAAAGGTGTTTTTGTTAAACGATAGTCAATCACTCACTTGCATTGCAGCTATCACTTTTCGTATTTTCCTCGCAATAGGTATGGAATAGATTGGCATTGCCTCGTATGACAATATAGAGCATCCAAAAGAAGATGCCGCCAAGGCCAAGGCATACCAAGATCTGAAACAGGGCAAGCTGGCAGTGATTTTTGAGGAAATTTGCTTGAGAAAAGGCTGTTTTGTTGTCGACATCGATTCCTTATCGAGACTGGCTTCCGCGTTGCGTGTTGCGGCGCGTTGCTAGTTGCTTTCCAGTCCCTTTAAAACACCTACCGCGTAAATGAGATACAACCACATCATGCACGTATTCTGCCGCATTGTGCCGATGATAGAAATAATGATGAAGATGAAGCAGAAAAGAATTGCCGCCAGTATCGGATAATACTGTAAGGAGGAGCGTTGTGTACAGATCACTACAACTCACGCCCTGCGTGACGAACAAAATCGATAGCGTGAGCTGGGCGGCCCAGAAGATGGAAGTGGAGGTGTAGACGGACCACTGAAAATGGTGGTGGAATTTTTTCCTGAAGAATCTCTGCTAGCCTATGCGAGCCTCCTCAATGATCTCTGCTAGCCTGCCTTCCGCTTGCTCAATGATCTCTGCTAGCCTGCCTTCCGCTTGCTCAATGATCTCTGCTAGCCTGCCCCTCCCTTTCCGCAATGATCTCTGCTAGCCTGCTAATACAAAATGCCTACTAACCGCAAGTGGCAGACAGTTGAAGAACTTTTGCTTTTCCGTCTCCATTTCTAAAACGATAAACAATCATTAAAGGGATACCCAATGTTTTTGCGGCAAATATATATGTATTCCGGAGAGTACAACTGACGCGCGAATTTTGTGTGGCAATGGGTGCCCAGTGCCGCACAGAATTCGGCCTCCTCTCCCCCTTGTGGCGTCTCCATCTCGACCAATGGCTTGCCACTATGGTCTAATGGATAGCATCCAGGCCTACAAAACGGGGGTCCGGGGTTCGACCCCCGCCCACGTCATGGTTTTTGCTTTTTGAGCCTCGGAAAGGTTGGGTATCCCTTTAAGGAAAATACGATTATGGCGCATATTTTTTTCACAGTTGAAAAATGTCCAATCTAAAACCAATTAAGCTCAGAATTCAATTAGGAAACAAAAATGCTGAAAAGAGGGAGGAAATGCAAAAATTTGAGATAAAACTGTGCATTTCCGGCCCTGCTGTCAGGCTTAAATACCGGTGAGAAAAATGACGGAACCGGGGAGCCGTTTTTCCACGAGATACGACTCGCTTCCGCTGCTCTAAACAGATACACGCAGGAGCCCGAATTATTGTCTCATTTTAGAGGGTTTTCCAGCTTGATAAGAACATGAATCATCACCCGCGCATTTACTGGCGTAATAAATAATTTAAGACAAAATTGTCGATTTCGTAGCAAAAATGTTGAAAAAATCCTTGGAAAAAGAATGTTTAAATTGGCATACTGTAAGGTTTTGAAATCAATATATTTATTTAATTTTTTTTAAAATTGCAGTAGCTTCCCCCATCATCGCCCAAGCCCGTTCCAGATGAAGCCGGGCGGAAGGGCTTCAAACAGGCGTCGATAGGTGCCCGGCCATTCCGAATGCGGGACTTGCTCGTAGATTTTTCCGGCCAGCCCCTCGTCATTTGTATACCAAGGAGGTCCTGGAAAGTATGGGGATTAAGCTTTTGGGGCCAGCTTTGCAAGCTGAAATCAAATAAGCTCAGGCTTAGCTTAGGCTTAGGCTTACATTTAGGCTTAGACTTAGGACTAGATTAGGTCTAGGCTTAGGCTTAGAGTTGCGCTTTATGTTTAGGCTTAGGCCTGGGCGTAGACTTCGATTGAGCTTAGGCTTAGGCTTAGGTTTAGGGTAGAGATGTTACGCATACGAATACGATGTGCTACTTCCGGCAAATTAGCCCGATATGCATATCTGATTTGAGAAAGTGCGCGAGCAGTTCGAATACGATGATGGTATTCGAATAAGCTTTGGGTAAATCCCGATGCGACGATTCGCATATCGGCTTCACGTCGGGATAAAAAGCTAATTAACAATTCAAGACGAAATGCTATGCAAACATCAAAACATTGGCACATCCACCGGAAATGACCGGGAAATTGGCTCCTAAATCAATTCAAATTATGCATATTCTGACTACTTGTTTGCATTTATCGATCGTTTTCTTCGTAATATCGCTTTGCATCCAAATTAGCTTATTATCCCGATGTGGACCGGGTTAAACGAATACGATCGTCGCATTTGCCGGGTGCCGACGCTAATTCGAATACGACGATCGGGTCGGAATTAGGAAATTTTTGATTCCGACGGCTTATTCGAATACGACGTGTAACTCCTGTGTCGTATTCGTATGCGTAACATCTCTAGTTTAGGGCCAACTTAGGCTTGGACTCAGGCTTGGGTGTAGGCTTAGGCTTAGGATTAGGCTTAAGCTAGGCTGAGGCTTGGTGTTTAGGATTAAAGTTAGGCTTAGGTTGGGTTTAGGCTTGGGCTTAGGGCCAGCTTCGGCTTAGGCTGAGAAGCGTTCGAAGCTCACCAAGCCGGCCGGCCAAGTCGACATTTCCGGCGCCCGGGAATGTCACGTGGACGCGCGGGTTGAGAAACGGATTCGGCGCAGCTTCCAGTTCTAATTGCCTGAAAATAAAATGCAATTTCTATAAATTACGCATTTAAGTTTAAAACCAGGGTTGAAAAGCCGCTTCGCGACTTTTCAACCCTGGCCCCCGTCTATCCCCATTTTTTATCCTTTAATTTGCATAATTGTCCTGAAGTCAGATGACAAAAATGAAAAACAATCTCTTCTATCCCTTTATATAGTCGAATCCCCAGTTCCGGTCTATGCTAATTTTGTTCTAACAAAGAAGTTTTCACAAAAACTTAAATTTGATGTCGAAAATAGGTGATTTTGTTAAATCTGATATGCGTGCAGTCATCTCCAGGCCATTACGCACCTAATGACGTATCATACATACCTTAAAATTCATTCCCTATCGAGATATCCTCCGGACAGACAAACGGAT